CTTTGAAATTTTTCAGTCTTTTTTTTTTTTTTTTTTTTTTTTTTTTTTAAATCTTTTTCGTGTCATATAGTGCTAAAATAAGACAAAACTACACTCGGCGCTACCACTCTAACTCCATAGTACTTAAGTTTCGAGCGTGTTTTATTTAAAACTTTGTAAGTGTAAACGAAGATACACATAACATACATTTAGAAACCATTGTAGAGCGCTTCAAAATACACCGTTAGGAATATGTGTATACTCTAGTGGGCCGACGGGCCGGCCATAAACGCTAAATTCCAACTGAATGTGTCAGAACATCGGAGAACTTTGAAAAATAAAGAGAAGCTTCGAGACGCACTGGTACGCACGTGTGCGTCGTGATAATATTATGTTATACTGATATATTGTATCAGATCTCCATTCAAAAAAGCAAAAGAATATTGCTAAATGTAAACGAACAATCGAACCTTTTTTTGACTCGTTTTGAAATTCATAAACCCTACACCTTAAAAAAGAGAGGGAGTGACGAAATTTAGAGGGTTTCATCAGTCAGTCAAATATACATGTAAATAGAAGGGGTGGTCGGTGGTGTGAGAAAGGGGGTAAAGAAGTGGGAAGGGGGAGGGTGGTGGTGAGGCGACAAAAGCAAAATGTAAACAAACTGACCTCGAACTGCCAGTGCGCCGCCTGGAGCAACTGTTTGGCCTGTTCACTTGCGCAGCCGGCCGCCAACGTGAATTGATTGATCATCACCTGCTCACGCAGAGCCTCCATTTTTCTCTCCTCCGCCGTCCTGTGCATGGATATTAACTCGTGTATGTATTTACCAGCCTCTACCACCTCCTCTTCTTCTTTCCTTTGTGTGTCCTCTTCCTCGCCACAAACCTATACATATATACATATACCGGCTATGTACGATTACACAACAACAATAATGCACTTGTAGTAAACATATACTTCTCACCGTCGTCCTTCCATCACGTTATATGACGGAAGGGAGGTCGTCCGCTAGTGTTTGTAAACACGCGATTTCGCTCCTTTCGCTGTATATAATATCTGTGTATTGTGTGTGACGTAAGACAGTGAGCTCGTGTCAAGGCTCATTTTCTTCACGTACGTTGCCAATCGAGTAACGTCCGTTATCTCTAGCCTTTTTTTTTTTTTTTTTTACTGGTTTTTACTCTTTCTTTCTCTTTTCATTAGAGAAATTTTGTCCATTGTTTTTTCTTCTCTCTTTCGCTTTCCCTCATATAACTCGGATCACAACGGTTGGCTTGAAAATGCATAATTATATTCAAGCCCCGTTGCACAATCGATACGAATTTTTTTTTTATTTTCTGTTAGGTTTTTAAATTTATTAAGCTTTGAATACGAGGCTTGCAATTAATATGTGAATTTTTATTTTCCGACGAGATAATAATATGTGTGTCTGATTAATCTCGTGATGTACTTTCTCTCCGAGCTTTGTTTGTTAATGTATTTCATTCGAATAAAATAATTTTTTTTCAATTTATCGACTGCACACAATGTGGGTTAAAATTTTCTCAACTGATTCACTTTGGGCTACATAATATTTTTTGGGACGGAGGTCGAGTAAAAAAATAAATTAAGCAATACAACAAATTCTTTGATAATTAAAAACACATTAAGGAACCTCGATGTTAAAAATGTGACTCTTTGTTAAAAACTTGAAATTTACTGCGAGGAAAGGAAGCATTGTCTCGACAACTGTGAAAATAAATTAAAATTATGAAAACGGCTTACTTCTGAAAAAAAAAAAATATATTCCAGGAACAGGACTTGTGACAGTACATTCCAGCACCGATACATTAAGTTCGTTCCCCAAATTAAGTAAAGTTATATTTCGGTTAGCTGATAAAATGTAGTTGAGCAAAAATCGACATGCCCTTACTTTTAGCATTCTTATTCCTACACTTGTGTTTATTTTCTGGCTTCATGACGAATTCAGCAAAAAGTTAAATTTTGGAGTTGCATGATTCGGAGTGAAATTCGGGCATTATCTGAGCACCTCCCAGTTTATCTGATCGAAGTCTCGAACGACTCATTCGACTTATCATTGAAATATGAAATTAGTCTAAAAAATATAAATTATATTGTTTCTTAATCTAATCATCGTAAAAGTAAAAAATTATTTTTCTAGTAAAGAACTCGGAGATAAGCGATATGTATAATTCGTTTCCATATCTATTCCATTTTCTTTTTGTAACTACGGTCACATGTTTTTTCGTCATTCTCAGTTTAAAAAAACTGCATTTTATTGACTCAAATTCGTCATTATTAATTCAATTACCGTAATCTGGAGCTCACGTAAGAAAAAATCGATGAAACCTAATATTCTTACAAATCAAAGAAATTCAACTCCAAGTTGCAGCTTGAATTTGAATACATTGGAAGAATAATTGTAGTTTTAAATAAAGTAACGTGACTAAATTCAACGTAAGATGAACTTTACCACACAATGTAATGAAAATATAATACGCTGGAAATCGATTGGTTGGGCTGCACTCTAAATGTAAAATGTCCACTTGAAAGGGAAATTACACATATTATACACCAAAGTGATGGCATTCGATCAAACGTTTGCATTGGTGTATATACTATTAAAAAATCGGTAACAATAATTTGGTGTTGAACAAAAACTTTTGAAAGAAAGTTCTTGATAGTACTACGGTCTGGTGGGGGAGGGGGTTATCATGCTTTTTAATTGTCTCGTAAATGTAAGCTAACATTTAAAAAAAATGTCAGTAACGTTGTGCCCCATACACGCTCGGTTGTAATCTAATTCAAGTTATAAACGTTCATACACTATATCTTTAAAAAAATAAACACGTGTATGTACATGATGATACATTTGTGATAAGAGCAGATAACGAACAGTGAGAAATCTTGTGTCTCCCTCGGTCTCCCCCTTAGAGTATGAATATTACTCGGAATATTATTACATTACTGCAGACTACTCTCAGAGCTCTCAGAGAGATACTACCCACCCAAATTCACTGACAAAAAAAAAAAAAAAAAAAAAAAACAGATTTACTACTTCAGAAAAAGTAAAGTGTACCTACAGTTAGGCTGTCTTGTACTATGCTGTAATGCTACTATTTTCCGTAATATGTTGGACGAATTTTAATTCTTTGGCTGTACCAACCGATGCGGAAAACAATGGTAATAACAAATTGAAACGCCTATTCTATTTCATGCAATGCTTATCGACTTTGTTGTTTACATCAATGTGCATTAGACAAGTTTCTTTAATGGCTGTACACTGCAGCTGCTGACACCCCCAACAATTTAACTACCAAAGCATGTTAAATTAAACACAAGCTGTGTTTAACACTTCATTCAATTTTAATACCATCGGAACTTTGTTCTTGCCGATCTTTCTGCGATCAATTCGTGTTTACATATAGTCGTAAGGGGGTATAAAAATGTAGGAATGAATCATGTGATGACGAGCACACCAACACATATACATGCGTAGATATATATACACACACACACGCAGATTAAAGTAAAAGCAAGAACATCAAGCATAAAGGTTGTACATGGACTCTCTCAAGAGAAGCGAAAGAGTTGAGCGTGCGTATTTACATAATAGAGTTCCGTAGTTCTTTTTTTTTTTTTCATTCAGCCAGCGTTTTAGTATCAGTCATTGTTTCTTTTTTTACGCTTTGTTTACATACAAGAGAGCTGCGAGCATACGCATACATTTACCCGTACTAATTTTCGTTTTTTTTTTATTACAAACGTAATCCCAAAGTGTATTCTTTCACTCTTTTTATTTATTTCAAGTTGTACTAATTTATATAAACAGACATCAAGTCATTCAAAAGATATGCGATTGTTTAATGAAATTTATCTTTGTTGTAATATAGATAACGTAAGTTATTTTACGGCTTATTTGTAATAAGATTGTGAAGAGATGAATAGAGGAAAAAAGAATTGGTATTGCTTATATATTGTTAAACGATTTTTCTATTAAATTCTTTCTAACATCATCGTAGTACACCATTTAGAAATAAAATTAATTTTATATTGTATTTAAGTATAAACGAACAAACATTTCTCTGCAGGTACACCCGATTCAATGAAGGGAGGAAGTGTTTATCTCAAGCGATAAATCACCAGCCTTGTTCTTTGTTTATTTGTTACCCTTACTTTCGAGCTTACTTTGAAATTTTTCAGTCTTTTCTTTTTTTTTTTTTAAATCTTTTTCGTGTCATATAGTGCTAAAATAAGACAAAACTACACTCGGCGCTACCACTCTAACTCCATAGTACTTAAGTTTCGAGCGTGTTTTATTTAAAACTTTGTAAGTGTAAACGAAGATACACATAACATACATTTAGAAACCATTGTAGAGCGCTTCAAAATACACCGTTAGGAATATGTGTATACTCTAGTGGGCCGACGGGCCGGCCATAAACGCTAAATTCCAACTGAATGTGTCAGAACATCGGAGAACTTTGAAAAATAAAGAGAAGCTTCGAGACGCACTGGTACGCACGTGTGCGTCGTGATAATATTATGTTATACTGATATATTGTATCAGATCTCCATTCAAAAAAGCAAAAGAATATTGCTAAATGTAAACGAACAATCGAACCTTTTTTTGACTCGTTTTGAAATTCATAAACCCTACACCTTAAAAAAGAGAGGGAGTGACGAAATTTAGAGGGTTTCATCAGTCAGTCAAATATACATGTAAATAGAAGGGGTGGTCGGTGGTGTGAGAAAGGGGGTAAAGAAGTGGGAAGGGGGAGGGTGGTGGTGAGGCGACAAAAGCAAAATGTAAACAAACTGACCTCGAACTGCCAGTGCGCCGCCTGGAGCAACTGTTTGGCCTGTTCACTTGCGCAGCCGGCCGCCAACGTGAATTGATTGATCATCACCTGCTCACGCAGAGCCTCCATTTTTCTCTCCTCCGCCGTCCTGTGCATGGATATTAACTCGTGTATGTATTTACCAGCCTCTACCACCTCCTCTTCTTCTTTCCTTTGTGTGTCCTCTTCCTCGCCACAAACCTATACATATATACATATACCGGCTATGTACGATTACACAACAACAATAATGCACTTGTAGTAATTATATGTATATATACTTACTGCTACAACTCAATGAGACCAACAATAACAATAACAAAAACAACAGACGACGCTAGGTGTATTGTCACAAAATTAAACACTCGCTCACACACCGCTACACACTATATAATACAAACTTGTGTGTAAGTTTTCTTGTTTTTTTTATATTTTTTTTTTTTTTTTATTGTTTTACGTCCTCGTTGTTTTAACACATTCACGTACGTTTTTATATCTGCTGCACGCCGCTTCGCGTTCTCTTTCACTCTTTCCCATACAATATCATGTGTACGTGTGTACTATTTATGTTCAATACACATTGATGTGTATAAGTATGTTCTTTCTCTTACAAAGTTCCTTTCACGCGCTATGTATACTTGATTCCAGTGTTGGTGTTACGCTGGGAAAGAAACATATATAACACACTTTGGATTGGAGAGAGTGCGATAATGTCGTGTCTGCTTGCAATGCACACTGCGAATTAATCTTCGAATCGTACACATATATACACACACTACACAAGTAAACACACGCGCACGCACACACAATCGCCTGCGCACAAAAACAACAACAGCACTTTGTGTTGGTAAATGGCGCGTGATTGTTATTGTTGCGACGAACGACTACTATATGTATCAATATTATGTGTGCAGTTTCGACGTGTTCTTCTTTTTTTTTTTTTTTTATTACAGAGTGTTTCGATTGTGCACACACGAATTACTTCACCGAAGCAAAGACGGACGACATACAATTATATGTCGTGTGCAGTGTGCACTGCACTTTTCCGGTACTTCTCGCCACACACAGCCCCACTTATCTCTAACAACACTCGGTACCAACTGTTTGGCCTCCGAGCTCCGAGGACCGAGTCCGAAGCTCGTCCGTCCGCTGTGTCTGTCCCACACACAGTGTGTGTCAGTGTATGTGCCGCCAGCGCACACGGAGTTACGGTACGGCGACACGGCGTACGCGTAGAAAATTGTATTTATAAATTAACTCTGTACTGTAGGTACTCTGTATCTGTACTCTTGTACGCACAACAGCATTAAATAGCAGCCAGTCGTCATACTGTCATCAGCAGTATCAGCTTATATATTAAATGTATTTAATTCGCGTTCTCTCTCATCTCTGTCTACAATATATATCAGCTATTTCTCTTACATATCCCTCCTACCATATATATAACACTTGTTCACATATTTACACTTCTCCGTCCTCCGTTCTCCGGCGGGGGCGGCATGGCGGCCGTAGCGTAACACAATACATACCGCTGCGCGGCTGCAGTACGTGTGTTGTTTACATACAAATACAATACAACACTTTGACAATAGGTTTGTTCATTTATCCACCTTGGAACGCTCCGAGCGATCTATGGAGCTATTCACAATGGAGCTATGGACAAGTAGACATTTTTTGCTTATTTCATTGTGAATAATATCCCGCATACACAAAACATTGATGGACTGATGGTACTGACATCGTAAATGGATGCCAATGTGATGCCAAAATGCCTAATTCCATCACTATACATATTCTTTCGAATATCTTCTTTACAATTTACTTGAAAATGTACCTCCAAAAGTATAAATATACAGAGCGATTTTTGGGTAAAAAATAGTTTGTAAACTTGCCGCAAATTGCACAAACAACGTCAACTTTTTATTTTGTGTCTTCAACATTAGTTGCGGCTGGTTTATAATTGACTAAATGGCTCTACTATAAGTATCAGTAATAATTATTTGGATCAGCGCCATCTAGCGTTGCGGATTTCTGGACTAAAAAGTGGCCCTAAAATTCTGACCCACAGCATTAGCGCTTAGAGCTATTTAGTCAATTATAAACCAGCCGCAACTTATGACAAAGCTATAGAACAAAAAAATAACGATACATGTGTTTTTGGCGGCAAGTTAATGATCTATTTTTTACCAAAAAATTGACCTCCTATGTATTTATACTTTTAAAGATGAATTTTCGAGTAAAAGATAGATTGTTAACTTGCCGCCAAAAACACATATATCGTTATTTTTTTTATTTTATACCTGTAAAATTAATTGCGGCTGGTTTATAATTAGCTAAATGGCTCTAAGCGCTAATGCTGTGGATCAAAAGTTTAGGGCCACTTTTTAGTTCAAAAATCCGTAACGCTAGATGGCGCTGATAAAAATAATTATTACTATACAAAGCCATGTAATCGATTATAAGCAAATCCCTACGAATCATCACGTTTACCAACTTCTGTGAGGGTTGCGGCAGTAATTTTTGTTTACACACTTCGGGCTCAGATCTCTTGTGGATTCCTGTACAGGGCCAATGCACAGCCTGAACTCAACTCAGATATGTATAAACCCCCCTCACCTTGCCTGTACAGGTGGTAGTCAGGCAAGCGCAGGCAAATTTCTATGCGGATTCTGCAAAATGTATAACAGTGTTTACACTTTATACTCTCGTCTTCAATAACCTCTAAATAAAATTATTCTCTTGCGGAGCACTTGATTAATTATAAATTTTCAATAAAAGCCCTCCCTATTTCCAACAAATACACATTTTTTATCCCACCTTTAACATGTTGACTTGAACAAGAAAAAAAAGCCAAGTGTAGTCGTTCAAGGATGCCCCTAGGAGATAAACCAGAATGTGTTCAGTGCAGCACCAAGGAGAGTCCACTGTGGCACGGGACCGACGCCGGTAGCCTTTGCAATGATTGTCTCGAGAAGAGCAAATTCAAAGCCGAGGATGAGGAGGCTGCTGTGGTTAAAACAGATCCTCCTGAGGAAGCCACTGTTTCTACAACTTCAGCAACGACTACACCAGCAACAACAACAACGACGACAGCAACGTCCATGGCAGCAAACGCGAGGAAGGTTACCCGTGCTGTCACAAAATGTAATGGGAAACCTGGCAGGCCTCCTGGTAGCAAGAATGCCCTCAAAGGCAAGGGTCGGCGACACATTTTTAAGAAGACGGTACATTTCTCAAGTACCTTATTGATAGCACTATCGTTTTCTTTTCTTGCCCATTAGCTTTCACAGCTCAGGTGTATTTGTCTTTTTTTCTTTCTTTTATCGTGGATTTTTTTTTTCAGCCTGTGAAGTCACCAGCTGCCACTGCAACATCAGTGACAAGTAATTATGTGTTTTACAAAGGTTCTTACTTCCAAGTTGGTGACATAGTATCCATGCAGGATACTGACGGTGGTATCTATTACGCTCAAATCCGAGGATTATTAACGGATCAGTATTGTGAAAAAAGTGCAGCAATCACGTGGCTTTTACCAACCACAGCTAGGTATCAACAGCTCGTACCTTTTCTTGACCATAAACAATGTTATTTGCAGTAATTGCAGTAATACTGTACAATTACAGTCCGCCCCCCGAAGAGGGTTTTAATCCAGAAACATATATCATTGGGCCGGAAGAAGAATTACCACGGAAACTTGAATACATGGAGTTCATCATGCATGCTCCGTCTGACTATTACAAATTAAAAAACACTCCTTACCCTCCGATCCTTCAAGAAGGAGGTAATGGCTATGTTTGGACAACACTGACAAATGAAAGTTTTCAAAGGTAGATTGCAATGGTGCTGTTCAAGTTAACACATTAACAATTGTAAAAATATTATTTTCAAAGGTGCAAGTGGCATTGTGATCTAATTTATCTGTAATAGTACAACTGATACACGTTATATTGTGTAGCAAAAATTATAGAAATTATATTTAAAGCAAGCATGTTCTTAGTATAAGTACAAAAACATGATGAAAATCCTTTGTAAAATTCATGTATATTTAAGTTCATATATATCTTGTAAATAAATTGAAAAATACATTTTCTTACAAATGTGTTATTTTTTGTTGTTTTGAAAAAATGATAAAAACAGATTTTAACAGTAAATAGTACCATTTATTCATTATAATACAATACATAAAACTCTTGTATGTTTCATTTTACAAATGGAGGCGCATTCAAAAGCATTTTACTAATGACATAGAAAAATAAGTTTCAGTAGCAAATATTTCATACAATCATTTTTACATTATTAACGTACTTTCTAACTGAATAACTTCGTAAAGCACGAGTTAATCAAGTATAAACTAAAACAAATTTTTTTTATATCATATTACATCTGCCACAAGAGTTCAATTTTAAGTAAAAAATCGATAGTGAATCTTTGTTTCTTTGTTCGATGCCGAAAAAATTGCACAAAAGAGTCTCAACGTTAATAATCGCGGGATAACGTGTAGGACGATACAAGCAGTGACGTGTCAGGTATCATGGGCGTACTTTCGCTGTCATCAAAGGTCAAAAGGTACATTCCTGTGAGTTCAAGCCCATCGCGAAAGTACCTGGATGCTGCCAGTCAACTGAAACCTGTCACTGAGGCAGACGGTCAGAATTTGAGGTCTTTGATTGCTTGAGGTAAATCCGGAAGTTTCATGTCCTTTATTTGTTGTGGCAAATTCATGTTTTTTACTGCCGAGACTGCACGCGCTGGAGCTGCTGTAATTCCAGCCTATAATCACATTAAATTCAGTTACATAATTCGTTGAATTTCCTTGAGGTTGGGAAAGAATTATTAGAATCACATTATAAGTGTGAACCATATTACAAACGCTCTGTCTGTAGGTCCAATAGCTTAAAAAATATTAATTTGTATACGTCATATTAACAACGACTCAAGTGGATGGAGAAAAATTGACAAATGAGAATAATGATACAAATAAACTTTGATTTATTGCATTCAATATTTTTCATGGGCCTTTCTACTGTGTGGGAGTAATATTAAAGTCAATATAAATGTAATAATATAAACCTTCTTTTTGTTAAAGGGGCGAATAAGGGAGATTTTTAAAAACACCTTAGCAGCTCTAACAACATATGTTAGTGTCAGATATAATGCAAACATCCTAGTGGCGTATTACAAAGCAATAATAATCTACAGAATCGAGTAATTACCTCTTGTTTTTCCAGTTTATTTTGGTCTTCGATCCTCATCAATATTTCAGTCATATTTGTTTCAAGCACCATACCACCCATGACCAGTTCATTGAGAATATAATGCACCCTATCTACATGAAAAATAAGATCTAGTTCACAAACGTTCTCAAAACACTTGTCCAGAGTTTCGACGAAAACTTGAATTAAATCTAAAATGCCGAGTTCTGATTCAGAACTATCTACACAAAATACAAAGTATAACGTCGCATAGTGACGATATATTAATTTGTAGTCCGAGCCTCCGATGAGGCTGCCTCCCTCTAGGAAATTGCAAACGTTATCATCTCTCTTGGATACCAAGTGAAACGTCTCTTTTATTATCTGCTGTTGCATATCTTCATTCTGCAAGTATAAGAAATAATTAAAACTGAAATCAATGCACTTGTTACTGAATAAAACATAAATAAAAATCTCAACTACTAAGTACATTAAAAAAGTCACTCACGAAGTATTGATAAAATTTGGAAAGTCGTGGCTTTCCGTGATTGTTAAACACCAAAATAGCCTTGATCATTTTTTGACAATCAACAGATTTTGTAAAAATGTAAGGTTGCAGACGTGAGGTTAAGTCGAAACTTGTTCCACACAAATCAAATGAATGAAATTACAGATTACTGCATGGATTTTGATATTTCTGACTTCTGACACTGATGATTTTGATTACTGTAACATAGCTGTGGTCTTTCACTAAACATTGTTTCCTTTTTTGGCTCAACAATTAAACTTGCGTTTTCAAATAAGCATTCGCCTGCCAGCGGCTGATGTTCCTAATTCCTATAGCTTATTCCACTGACATGCACACTTTTGTTTTGGTACCTCCTTTACAACTTACAACGAAAGTTCGTCGTATTAGATGTACTTATGTCCAGAGATGAGTATAAGTAGACAGTATACTATACTCACTACTTATCTCCGGTATGTCTGTCGAGAGCTCGGCGACATATATATAAAAAATTTAGAAAATTTAATACGGTATACGTACATACGTTGACAATTTGACATACGCATCTATACCAGAGAATATAAAATATATCTCTATGTATTCTCTGTCTATAGTCTATACGTCTTATTTGATTCCACTTCAATTTCTACGTTACACACGACAAGTCAACAATCGTATAACAATTCATATGAATATCATACTACTCCAAAAGAGTCCAAACTGTCCAAAAGTACTTACTTAAATGTGTGTTAACAATAAACATATATATTTACACACGCGCACATCATAATATATTTATGCTTTTGAGTGCCTGAGTGAAGAGTGGGGATCTTGCCGCGGCTGGAGCCTCCGCCCTCCGCTCCTCACCTTCCCAGTAACTTAACTTTACATGGGGATGACATTTTTGAAAAATCTTTTTTAATAAAAAAATTTTGTTATCAAACAGTTATAATCAAGAAATGCATTTTTCCTACAAAAATTTTTAAACGTCTCACGAAATAAAACAATTTATTTATTTTCTAACAATTATTTATCCGCAGATTTATTACTTTACTTCTCAAGGTAAAAAAATTTTGTCAATGGCTTGGGCGCAAGTATTCCAAAATAAATTACACAAATCACAGAAGTTTACGGTTACCTTTGGACTTAGGTACATCATGTCAGTACAAAGGTAACCGAAAAGTTCTAATTACATGAGTATATCACACAGAAGAGTTACATAGTGGAGGGGGGGGGCTCCGTGTGGAGACTGGATACTTTATGGACCCACCAAAAAAGGACCATATAAATACTATACATAACTTCTGTATTGAAAATCATCTCCAGAGACAGCTCGTGCACAAATTTTGCTGTCGCACTACTTCAGAGTACTGATTCATCAAAAAACTGTAGAAAATTTTTTTTTATATATATCTGAACTTAATAATCATTGTTTTTGACATTTAAATACCGCACTTAGTATTTCACGTTCGTTAGTTTTAAATCACAATATAACATTTTCTCCATGTTCTTAAAACAGGAGATCTTTAACTTGTAAAAATTAACAAAAAAAACTATAATTTGTGTAGGCATGTATGAATGTATTTGAGTAAGTTATTATTTTCTTACAAGTGCACTATTACTATTATTTTTGTTATTCTTATTAAATACGCAGTACATCAACTGTGGATCATACAATTATAAAAATTTACAATCCGATTATTATTACATTCTGTGGCTGAAAAATACTTAATTTCGGATACACTTAAGCCTCGTCCTGGCCTTGAATTCATATAAAATTTATATAAACCTCACATCGCACAATCAACATACAAAAATCCGCGCATGTAATTCTAGCATCGTACTGGTAAATCAATAAAATTAATGACTTAAAAATGCTTACGCAACGAAATGCCGCTCCGTTTTAAAAAGCAAATCACAAAAGGTATTACTAATATTCAATGCAATTAAAAAATTATACACATGCAAATGAAAAAAAAAAAAAAAAATCAGTAGCACAAACAAAAGTAGTAACAAAAAAATTTTTTACATTATTGAGCCTAAGGCTCCATCAGCAACTCAACCACTTCCTCGGGTTCCTGCTCGACTGTTGCCACCTCCTGCTTTTTGTTGCGTCTATAGAACCAAGCATAAACGGCCTTCTCGTTAATACCAAGCTCATCAGCGAGCGACTTCTTGCGTGGTTTATCCAGAATCGGATTCTCAGTGTACTCCTTCTCCAAACGATCCCTCGCCTCTGTCGCTAATACACTACGGTTGATTTTAACATTTTGCTCAACTCGGTGCTTACGAAACCAGTTTTCAACTCTGCTCATCGGTATGTCTAGCTCATCGGCTAACTCGCTAGCTCTTTTCTTGTTGATTTTCGGGCTCTTGCTAAACGCCTCCTGCAACTTCAAATTTTGCTCGCAAGTCAGCAGCATTGGCTTCTTGTTCTGCTTCTTAGGGGTGTAGCTTTCACTCAGATTATCATCATCCACCTGTTTGCTCATCATCAACCCTGACGGACTGCAATCATTGCCGCAATAATGCTCAGACGTGTCGTACTCTGCATCGAACGTCTGATGGTTGTTAAAACTAGTTAACTGAGCGTTTGATATGTCACCGGATATTATAGGGCTGTTACTGATCATGTGGACCTGAAGTGGAGCATCCTCAGTGTTAGCCATAGGGAAGTCCACCCGTTGAAGACAAATGGAAAGTCTCTTGCGTTTCTTGGGATTCATTGAATAGTCGATCGGTTGGTCGGCAGCACTCTCGGCCTTAGCGACTAATTCGTCCTTGTGAGGGTTAGCATCGTCCAGTTCACTTTCGCTACTCTCGTGCAATCGCCTGCGTTTGGAGGGCTTCCCTGGCAGGTCGTAACCTTGGCTCGCCCTGTTCAACGGATGATCGTCAATACCCCCGAGCTCACCGTACAGATCCGGACAGAATGATTTGGTCAAGTGTTTGTAATGCATGACCGTGTTCTCGTCGAGGCTCGACATCAAGGAGGTTATACTCCCGGCGGCGTTGTTGCAGTCCGTCGACGAGTCGGGCAAGGAGAAAGTAAACTGATCAGCGGCGGCGGCGTTCTCCGAGTCTCTTGCCACATCCTCTGCCTGGCGCATTGCGAACCACTCAGCCAAGCATTTATCTTCGACCCCAAATCGGTCGGCTACCATCTGCCTGCGAGCCTTGTCCAAGTGGTACATCTTGCTCAGCTCGTACTCCTGCTCGAGCTCGGCCAGTTGTGCGGCACTCGGGACCCATTTTTTCCTCTGCGCGCCGAGCCTGCGGCGCCTGTTACGGTACCAGATCAGCACGTTTTGCTTCTGAAGGTTCAACTTGTTGGCCAATTCGACCGCCCGCCTCGGACTGATGTACAAGCCCTTCTCCTCGAACTCGTGCTCCAGCAGGTTTTGCTGCTCGGCTGTTAGTATCGTTCGATTGTTACGAACTTTGTTACTTTCTGGTGTCAGTGAGCCATCGTTGTGCTCCGTTGCGAGACGATCAAGTAACTTAGTACTCGAGCCGGGGTCGTCGTCATCGGCGTTCTCTACGAGGGTCGTGTTCTGGAAGTCTGTCGTCGAGCTGTTCGTGAGACTACCTCCCGATACAAGTTCCGCATTGTTGTTGAAAATGATCTCTCTCTCGTCCTTGGATAAAATACGCGGCGAAGTCATTTTTCTGTTACTTTCGGCAGTAGCTAATTGGAGAAACGTTATTTTAGATGAAGAGATCATTGGAAATCATAACGATGTTTGCCAAAGGTAAAAAGATTGTTTGCGCTTGTGTATGTGCGGGTGGATGATGATGTGAATCACTATCACATCATGTCATCATGTGATGAAAGCATGAAAGTGTGTGTATGGTATATTTTCATGGAATGGAAAGTTTGTGACGAGTGAATTTTTCTCTCATACCTTGACAGATAATATCTTAATTAGTTAATTATACTTACAAAGAAGATCACGTGAAGTATCGTGAACATATAACGTGTGAACGGGCCACTGATTACTATATATTTTTCTACTCTTATATCCTGCGATACAACCACCTGAACCATACCTTAGATCACAAAATACTTACTTCTGCAGGAATCTGGAGAGATAGCGTGACAAGGACCGAGAACCGAGAGTTGTAGGACTTGTAGGTATTCTGTAGGTAGTAGAAGTAGAACTATATCTCTCTCAAGCTGGAACGCGATTGGTTGACGCATAGTAGCTATCTTAAATCTTACTCTAATTGAACAGCGATTGGTTCATTGGTTGACGCTGATAAAATGAAACGTCTCAATTATTGTTCTCGCAACGTTATTAAGTACCCTCACTTACGCAAAAAATTTTGTAAAAAAATATTCATTATTCAAGTAGTACAATATGTGTTAGCCACCCAAAAAATAGCAAATAAAATTTTTACATGCCACCATTAATTTTCCGATAAAAAAACTAATTCCATCACCCTAAATCCCCTATTATTCTTTTTCAGACTAAATTGGCCAATAATTGCACATCTGGAGTTTTTTTCCTACGCCTTACATTTTTGAGAATTATAATTTTTTCATTTGTTGCAAGATTTCACCTATTCAACAGCTATCAAATGAATGGAGGATGGAGGACAACATCAAGGTAAATGAATTTTTACAAAAAATAGTAAAATTGAAAATTTCTTTAATTTAAATAAGTAGTTATACTATTATGAAAGTATAAAGTTGTTAGTTATATACATTACATATCAATAACTAGTGTAAAAATTGTTATTAAAAAATAACTCTGCATTTATGTAAAAGACGTTGTTTATTACACATTCAGTGAAAATTTATTTTGAAATAAAAAAAAGTAACAAACTTGTAATAAATATATTTTACAATACATTTCTTGATGCTGTTTACTTAAGTTTAATTCAAGTCCGCATTCTCCTACCTGTGGTTGGTGTAGACGAAGCTCGTGGTTCTTGCTTCCTTCTCAAAGTTTTTGATGTACCTAAAAGTTCATATTCAAAATAATTGTTTTTGAGTTTCTATTGTTTTATGACAATTATAATTTAAGATATAGTGATGCTAGAACACAGAAAAACAATGATTCGTCTAATGTTACCGGGTGTTTTTTCTTCTAGTATAGAAAATCTAACGCCTCTTCTTAAAGATTTTTGGGGTGTTCTGTCGGTGTCATCTTCATCAGAGTCACTATTCGTTGTAGAATCAGCTCTACTTCTTCCACCTGAAATAATTTGAAGGTTTCATAATGATATTTATACTTCAGTTACCTTGTTCTTGATATCAGGATAATTACTATGTAGCCACTCTTTTTTCCCCCCGATAACTACAAGTTTACAGTATGTGTATGCAATACTAAGAAATAAAAGAGACAGCGTAGCACGCCGCTGACGCCACCAGTAAGGCCTTGTCTCATGCCATATTCTTGTGCGCTAGTAATTGCAAGCAGTTATTCAATACGCCAATGTAATCGCTTGGTTGTCTCGACAAAATGTACACAGTTAGTTAAAATGACTATAACATGTAACTTACGACTGAAAATGTATGTGATACTTCTTTTTATAAAGCTACACATCTAATGCAAACTAAAATTTAATTAAAGTTTTTTTTACGCTTTTTTTTACGCTTTTTTTTTACAAACGCGCGATCTCCAAGGTAAAATAATGTAGTTATAAGCCGCGAGCCTCCTCCATCAGAGAGCTTTTTTTTTAAGGAAAAGGACATTAAACCCACAAAATAACCCAAGGACCAGCCTAAGATCGTCCAAATTCGCGAAACAAAGCAAACAAATCAAACTATACTTAATGATTTAACAGAATAGCTCACTATAAGTGGGTTAAAAAAATTGCACACATACTTTTTCCTTTACCATACTTTAGGGTACGTAAAAAAGAGTATACAGGTATTGCAGGTTAAAGTTATTGAGTAAGGGGCTTATGACACTCTAGGTGCATTTTGATGAGACACATTGGACGTCTTCGATGTAAATTAAACGAAGAGAGTGGAGGGAATAACCCGCTAACAGCGTCCGACGCTCGGAAGGCTAATCAGAGAATCGGTTTTCTTGTAGAAAACGCCGACTGTATCTACATAAAAATACACCTTTAAATTTCCTGCGCTTTATCAAAAATCCCTTTTATAAGAACTAAGGCGATAGTAGAAAAACACTGTCAACTGAATTTTTTTCATAATCTACCTGATGGACTCAAAATATTTATTCATATATAATCTTTATGGCCCATAAATTTTTTGCGTTTAGACCTCCAAACACGAACCCTAATCCATCTTATGATTACAGTCTGAACTTACGTCGAGAACTGCTAGTGCTCGGAGTTCTGGATCGAATACTAAAGTCTTCATCCTCATCCTCCTCATCATCACTATCGTTTCGTCTTGACACGCGTCGCACTTTCTTTTTCCCTTTAATAGTCTTTAGCGCTGGTCTAGGTGGAGGTGGCATTGCTTCGCTGTCAGAAACAGGCTTGGGCGTGCCTTCCTCATCATTATCCTCGTTTTCCAACAGCTCTTTGATTTTTTCTTCAAGCTCTGTACAAGCTACTTTCGCCTCTGGTCGACGTTTGGCGGTCTCAACTATAGAATTCAAAGCTTTTTGGACATCCTCATTGTGAATTTTTTCTTTCAGCAGAGGTAAATCGTTTATTAATATTCTTATGCCTGAAAAAAATTTCGACATTACAATTTTATAATTGTATACTTTACACTGTAAGTTATTTGACTTTTTATACCCTTGACACTGAATTTCAGTAGTGACAAGCAATATGACAAATCGCGCCACTGTCGCTCTGTTGTGGCTAACTTGAATCGACTACACAGTTTTTCAATTATACTATCGACCTGACGATCTTTTTGCAGTAAGCCCAAGATATATCTGAATTAAAAAATAGTATAAATTCAATTTCTGTGGTCTTTCACTAAACATTGTTTCCTTTNTTTTTTTTTATAAATAGAAAATAATTCGGAATTATGCAATACTCACTTGATTATTTCTTGAAAATCTTTTTCAGCAAGTTGCAACTCGGAATCAGATAAGCACGACAAGATATCCGGCATAACGTTGTACAGAGCGTTTCCTTTCTGGGACAAGTCTCGGAACAATTGCTTGGCATCTGAACGTATAGTCTCATTTTCGTCTATCATGCAGAGCGCCAATTGTGCAACTTGTCCTTTTACACGAATCATTTCGCCTAATATCAAGTTTGATAGCATGTTAACACAAGTGCTACGTACTATGAGACTTTCATCCTTCAGTCTAAAAAAAAACGAGGGTAAATCAGACATACGTACGGCCAAGAATAAGTTTTCAAGTGACATGTGAATTTAAACAGTAGAAACTTACCGTCCATAAATGTGTGACGTCCACGGTTCAATTTGATTAGGAAATCTAGTCATCAAGTCCGCCAACCCTACCAAGATGTTTGCCCTGATTTGCGGGTGCGACGAGCGTTCCAATATCGTAACAAACAATTGTAGATGCGACTCGCAGAAATTTGAACTTATCGTCATTAGTTTGCTAAGCGCCAGTACTCCATGAGCCTGTACCATTTCATCATTGTACTTGTCCGGATGCTGACAAACGTCCAGAATCAATGGCCTGTGAGTTAATTAATTAAAAAACTTGTAAAGTAAACATACAAAACTAAGGAGGGTCAACGTACAGAAATTTATAAAAGAAGCCATTATTGGCAAGAAGCTCCTCTTCTAGCACCATGTTGATGTGCTCGGCGTCGGCATCGTCAGCCGTAGCCCCTTCCATGCCCTCTTCGTTCTCGTCGTCATTCTTGTTGCCCCTGATCGAGCGATGAGCGCTGCCCATCACCGACGACGCGTTCGACGCCATCGAAGCCACAGACGTCGTTGACGCGTTCATGGACTTGCGTCTGTATACGTTGCTGGTGCGAGCTCGCATTTCCTTCTTTTTTTCGCACACGGCGTTCCGACGCTTGAGTTCCTTGTATACAAACTGGTCAAGGTGGACCATCTCACGTATGCCAACGTGTCCCACCAGGAATAAAAGTCGAGCTATTTGCAGCGCAGCGATCGCGACATCGGGACTATCTGGTGAACGTATAAATTGCCCGGCTTTGGCTACGTGGATTATCACGTCTTCCATTAATTCGGCTGGCTGATCAGCTAACTGTGATATTTAAATTTTTGTACATAAAAAATGGCTGGGATCGATATTTTTTTTTCTTACTTACATGGTAAACAACATTAATGGCATCTGTTGCGAAAGATATGTACCCATTTTCTTTTTCATCCAGGAAATTTTCTTTTAAATAGTTACAAACTTGGGTAAATATTTCATGATCGTTTGGATACCTTCAGTATGAAGAAGAAAAATTGTAAGTAACAGTGCAATTTTCGAGAAATATTAACTTTTGACGTGAATTTATGGGTTTGTTACTTGATTGGGCATTTGTCTATATCCTTTGAACAATCCTGCTTAATTGCCAGAAAAGCTCTGCACGTATCTCGAGCTAACAAAAGATCAGCTTGCCCACGAGGGCCCAAGCCAACTTTGATAAGAACATCGAGATTGTCGGTAATAATGTTAGCCTCAGCTTGAGCAGCCATAGTTAAAAGCATCAAAGCTGATCGACTTTCCTCGGGCGTTGTGTTTGCTAATTTAAGCGAGAACATCTCCCACATTACCTTTAAAAAATTAACGTGTATTATCATTATTTTCAACTATGTGCTGGTATTTACGTTTAGGCGACCCGTCATAAAGAGTTGTTTTGTAAGCTGTTGAGATTAGAAAAATTACGTGACAGTACTACCTTTAACGCTTCTGCGTCCAATTCATTGTTTTTTCTCCATGAAGTTACAAGTTTAGAAAGCGCTGCGCTCTGTCCAGACTGCAAACCATCCAGAAGCTGAATGAGAGCCTTGACCGAGTGCAGGGCTTTTTGGCGTTGGTTCATCTGGTTCCCCCCGTGATCCAGATATATTTCTTTGTACACGCCGGCTACGTTGTCTCGCACAGACTGATCGCGACAAAAGATCTGGAAAAGCGCCTTGCGTACACCTGACAGAGCTCCTGATATCTGAAATTGATAGGCAGCCCCTAGGAAAGAGCAGGCTTCAATAGCATCGCCGGGGTTCATTGAGTAGAGCAGCTTTTCTACAGTGGGTATCGTTTTCTCGAACTCTGCTGCAAAAGTTAGGCAGTTCTGGAAGAGATGAACAATTTATGATCAATTTTCATCTTTTTTTTTTTTTTTTTCCTACACTAGGAGCCAATTTTCTTGTACCTGTAAATAATCTATAAGCTTTTTTAAGACTTTGATTTGATCCAACTTTTTCAACTCTTCTTGATCTGTGGCTAAAGATTTTTTGCTTTTATTTGAATCGTTTTCATCTTCTTTGGAGCCCGAGTTCATGAATATTTTGTACATGAATAAAAGCAGTGCCTCTTTTTTTGTTTCCTCAGAGACATTTTTCAGTTCTTTAGAAAAGCCTGACTGAGAAAACAACTTCTTTAAATACTTCACTGCTTTTGAACATTTGTCTTTTAATATGTAATTTTGTATTTTGTTGAAAGTTTCTTTTATATCGATTTCTTCCTCCTTTCCAATTTCTTCTTCTTCATCTTCCGGATTATCTTCTACAAAATATTAATGATCACGTTTATTGTCAGTGCAACCAAATGATTTTTAATTAAAAAGAACATACTTTCTTGTTCGGTCACTTTGTTGATTGCGGCTTCGATCAATGGAAGCTGAGTTTTCCACAGCTCTTCTTTTTCCTCTTCTGCTCCAGCAAAATGGTAAATTTCAGTCTGCAGTTGTTTTAATTCTGCTTTGGCATTTTCAAGATTGTTGGCGAACTTCTCATGATTCATCTGCAACGGGACATTTTAAATATTACACTAAATTTGAAAATCTTGGGCCTTTATCATCTCACCTTTGATGCAAAAGGATTACTTTGCAAAACTGCCCGAAGTAATGTTAGTGCTTGTTTGCGAACATTAGCACTTTTATCTTCCAATCTCAGGACTGATGCTTTTAACAAGCGGTTCTGTCGGGACAAAGGAATAGCTCCTTCGCAACACAGTTTTTGCCACGTTTGAAGGACCTTGGATCTCACATACGCATTACAATCCAATATGTGCTCTTCTAAATTGTCGAGACATTCGTCTCTTAAGTCACGTTTTTCAGGTGACAAATTTTCGCCAGTTAGAACATTGGCTACCATAAGCCCCATAACACCGATCGCACAATTTCTCATAACGTAACACTTAGAAGGGCGAAAATAAATACATTTACTTACACGGTTTTTTATTTTTTAAAAACATATTTTCTTATTATTAAAAAGATATGAGTATAAGTACTTACATCATTGGCCAGATAATCTATTATATTGTCTATGATAGGTACTATAACATCTGCTTGGGTATTAGCAATGGATTCAAGAAAGTTACAGAAATTCCGAGCATCAGCTTCGCCAGGCTCACTTTCACCGATTTCTCGTGCAATTTCTCTCATCAGTCCAGTGCAACCACACTCTGTGATCATAAGAACGACACCAGCACCAATTGGGGCTCCAAGAGCTTCATGAAATTTAGCCAATTGAATAATTCTAACAACACAAGCTATACCATGGTTGTACCTTTTTACCAATGTACCAAGAATCTAAAAATAAAGTGTATTTTATTCCATATTGTTGCAACTTGAAACTATAATAATCTGAGAATAGCTTACTTGAAAAATTAAACTCTTCATGGTTTTGGATTTAAAATCTTTTGTTTTTTCCAAAATTTTGTAGCAGATTTGACTGATTATTCTGAAAAAAGTTGAAATATCCCACAATTAGGTATAATGTTGTTAACATTAACATTAAATTAGAAACAATGTAAAAATGTTTTGTTAATAATGCATACCCAACAAACATATCTTCTACGATTGGAGGTGACCATAGACTTTTTAAAGGCAACTGTAACCACCTGTGCACCGTTTCCAAAGCTTTTTCTCTAACTTCATCCCATTCTTCTTCCAAATGTGATTTTTGTACAGTTTTCTTGCGCTGAGAAAAAAAATTTTTAACATTAAATCAAAACCAAGTTATTACTGACTTGTTCACAAGCTGTACTTACTCCTTTGCCAATATTCCCTATGTTACTATTACTGTTGGCATCAGCCATCAAATCTTCGATGATGCACAGAATAGAAGACATGATGTACGCCGACAGTTTATTTGCAGATAACACTTTAGCCTTTTCAGTTTGCTCAAACTCCAAGTCCTTGGTTTGGTCTACTTTCTTTTCCAAATGAGCTATCAGATTCTGCACAACTGAAAATTATTTTTAAACAGTCAGAATAACAAAATTTCATTAATAGCTACAAACAAAAATACATAAAGTTAGTCCCTACTTTTCAAGACTTTAGCAAAAGCTTTGAGTAACACTACCAACTCAACTTTATTTCCATGGATGATAATGGAAAGAAACACATCCTGTTTTTCGTGTATAATGTCAACCGGTGATGCTTCCGATAGCTTCTGTTGATTGATTTCTGAAATAAAGAAAGAAATAAAAAATGAGTGGTTCATCTGTAGCAAATGGCACAACAAAAAATAAAGTTGACAACTTAACATAGATGGTGCTTAAAAATCGACTCACCATTGATCTCTCGGGCAACCATCTGCAGGGATACGACCTCTCGGTGTCCATAATCACCAAAGTGCTTATGGGCAAGTTCTTCCTTGTCCAAAGGTATGGCAAAATCATGATCACCCATTGTTTTTTCTACTCACGTTGAGCAACGCTACTAGTAGGTGGACGAAAAATCGTTGTATACGAATCCAAGATGCAAAATTAAAGCCTTAGGACTCTTGTGTACACCTCCAGAGATTGACGTATATACCTGCAACCGTGACACATAACCACCATCAGGAAGGAAATATATTTTTGATTTGATAATCCTCAAATTTCACTTATTCTATAGACTTCTTGTTCGTTTAATTTTAGTCGTTTACTCACATTCAAACTTTGATAAACTAACCTCACCTTAGTCATTAACGAGAGAGTTTATGTTTATGTTAGGTCGTCCGTGACAAGTCATTTTCACAAGGTCACACGTTACATGACGGTCAAGCATGACATCTGACTTGGCGCGAAATTCGAATTTTTCACTTGTTGAAATGTACACACATTTGTTAACGACGAAAAGTAAACATGGCTCGGAAAATTTTCATCGAGTTGAAGAAATCAATAACTTTTGTAAATATTTTCGTTGTAAACTTTTTTTTATAAAATTTAACGATTTCGGCTCCTGTGGCCCATAGCAGTACAACAACACTCTAGTACAACAATCAAAAAATAGTTCGGGGATTACGTTTGCATGAACACATGTGTCAAGGCGACTTTTCTTTCTTACCCAAATAATAGTCTTCGAACAAAAGTGAGCTGTTATCGATCAGAGAGAGTTAAAGCATTAATACGATAGAAATTGAGTGAGATATCACGTACATACACATTCATTAACTAAAGTAGTGCCTAGTGCCTTCTGTCAATAATGGCCTTTGAGAAAGTTGCTGGTGCGTAGCTGTAGGTAATTATTAATCCATTAGTTTCAGTTTGAATATTGTATAGTGTAAAGAGATGTACGTATAGCTACGAAAGAAAAAAATAGATGGTTTATAGTCACATGCATAAATAACAGCTGTACAAAAAGAGTTTATGTATGCCGAATGATTGTAAAAATCGATCCTGTGCTCAGCTCGTTTGGGGCAAAAATTTATACTCAAAAATGCAAAAAAAAAAAAAAAAAAAAAAAGTACCTATATATTACTTTTAATTACACTTTGTCTCTCGCGTGAAGTTTAAATGTTTTCGTTTGGACCAATCAAGGCCAAACGTTTTTTTCTCTCCCGATCTCCGTTTCGTCGGATTCGTCAACGCGGCCCAATGAATCCCTGGCTCTGACCGACTCGACCCCATCCTCCAATCCCGTGCTGCCACACTGGCACGCGTGTGTTCGCCGCTTTTCTTCTCTCCCTCCCTCGACCCGCGACCCGCAACACACTCACTGCGTGACACTGTGTGTCTTAAAGGCCACGAACGTGTTGTTGCGGCCGACAACCGCGAAGGGAACAAGTATACTGTGTGTAGTATTTTTAATGAGGATGTCCTCTTGCTCGTAGTCGACAGGTGGATCGAATCGTGTAGTGCGGGAGGAAAACATCCCACCCCTTGTTCTCGTGGGTGATTTTTTATTCCTCCAAATCTCCGAATGAAGTAGAGTTACTTGGCCCGCTCCTCCTCGTCGCGTGAGCTCTCAAGAGAGAGGACACATTGGTTTTTGTCACACTCGTCGCATCGTCTGTATCAATGCAAGGGTAAATTTTTTTTTTTTTTTTTTTTCATTTAAAAAGATCCCCTAGCTGCAGGACTTTTTGCCCCTCTTTTCGTTTCCACCGAAACATGACCCATATGCATATCCATCAATTCATAACCCTGTTGGCTCCCTCGAAGCTCCGGCACAGATGGAGAGAGAACGCCGTCGGCGTGACAGTCCCTTTAATTCTTTAAATTTTTGTTTTCCGCTGATCGACGTTTCGGAATTTTAGACTTGCCAGTGATAAATTTTTTGTGCAATGAAACGGGTTTTTCACAAAGTTGCAGTGATATAAAGAGATTTTTTTTAGGAGCAGTGTCTACAATAGACACAAGTGTAATCAACCTCCCAAACACGTACAGGTACCTATCTACGTGGAACGTTTTTTAACGTCTGATGCTTGGTGGCAATCTATCTCTCCTCGTGTATATGCATCGCAGGAGTCGGTGACACTTTTCGGAATTCTCTCTTTTACATACGTGCTACCTACGTATTTCTTGTATCTTATTGATTCGTGGTGTACAGGGGGGCTTATTTTTTTATTTAATTTTTGGTTATATCTCGTGCTCGTCACACGCATTTTTAAATTCGTTTCAACGTGATTAAGTATTAACTTTTTATCCTTATGGTTGAGTGTTCTCTTTCGTTTGAAGCCAATTATATGTCAGTACAATTTTCTGAATCCATCCAGTTTTAATTTATTATAATAGTTTGAATAATTGCACAAATTATTTTACTGTATAATTATTACATATCTTAAAGATCATTTTTTTCTGTTGTAAAAGTCACATTAAGTATTAAAAAATGCAATTATTTAAATTGTCTGTCAATGACAAAAAAGTACTATTTGATCGATTAAATGTTTTCATTTCAGAAACAAAATGGCACAGATAAAAAAATTTGTAGTCGCACTCCTGACTTTACTTTCCATTAGTCTGATGTGCAGTCAAACTTATGGACTTGCTGTCATGAGTGTCGATCTTGGTAGTGAGTGGATGAAAGTAGCTATTGTCATGGTAAGATATAAACATTATATTTGTCTTTTATTTACATACCATAATTCAAGACACGCATTTTTCGTTCTACCAATTTGTGATCTATACCGTAATTTAAAGTGCAAAACTCGAATTACATGTTTCTGGTGCCAAATTCTTGTATATAAAAATAGCTCTTTAGCCGCTTTCGAATAAATCTATAATTTGATCTTACTTCTAGTCAATGTGGCCTATTTAAATAATTTATTAAATATCAGTCGATTTTTTATTTTTTATTTTCGTATACAATCAGATACTTGTTTTTTCTATAGTGAAATTACAATGTTTTTAAAAAAAATTTCTCGAATACTAATAATTATGTGCTGATTTTTACAGCCTGGCGTGCCTATGGAAATAGCTTTAAACAAAGAGTCAAAGAGGAAAACACCTGCGATAATTTCATACCACAACGAACGAACATTTGGTGAAGATGCTCAGGCTGTTGGAACTCGTTTTCCAAAAGACTGTTTTTCTTACATACTCGACTTGGTAGGCAAGTCAATCGACAATCCCGTAGTTCAGTTATTCCAAAAACGTTTCCCGTATTACAATGTCGAGGCCGATCCCGAGCGCAACACAATAATCTTCAGGATCGACGAGAAGACCACCTACTCCCCGGAAGAGCTGATAGCGCAGCTCCTGGGCAAAGCTAAAGAGTTTGCTGAGAGAGCAGCCAACCAGGTGATCAAAGAGGCCGTAATCGTCGTTCCGGGTTTTTTCAACCAAGCCGAACGCCATGCCATCCTCCAAGCAGCCCATCTTGCCAACATTAAAGCCCTGCAGCTCTTCAACGACTACTCGGCTGTTGCCCTCAACTACGGCATTTTCAATCGCAAGCTGATCAACGACACCGCTAGTTACGTCATGTTTTACGATATGGGTGCAAGTAGTACCACCGCCACTCTTGTCAGCTACCAGAACGTCAAGACCAAGGAGCGTGGCTTTGTCGAGATTCATCCACAAGTGAGCATTCTTGGCGTTGGCTACGACCGAACTCTTGGAGGTTTGGAAATGACCCTGAGACTCCGTGACTATTTGGCCAAGGAATTCGATGCCATGAAAAAGACGTCGAAATCCGTTTTTGATGACCCAAGAGCTTATGCCAAGCTGTTTAAGGAGGCAGAAAGGTTAAAGACCGTGCTGAGCGCCAATTCCGATCATTACGCACAAATCGAGGGTCTTTTGGACAAAAAAGATTTCAAGCTGCTCGTAACAAGAGAGAAATTCGAAGAGTTGTGTGCTGATCTGTTTGAGCGCGTTGCCAAGCCCGTGGAGATAGCTTTAAAAACGTCGGGTAAGATATTTTTCAGCACATGTTATCGTGTAGACAGGCTCTATGGCAATATATTTCATCTAATTTTATTAACTCGTAATTAATGTGTTTCAGGATTGACTTTGGACTCGATTTCTCAAGTTGTACTTGTTGGGGCTGGCACTCGGGTTCCAAAAGTTCAAGAAAAGCTGACAGAGTATGTTAAAACTGAGTTGGCAAAAAATATTAATACCGACGAGGCTGCTGCTATTGGAGCTGCGTACAAAGCTGCTGATCTCAGCAAAGGTTTTAAAGTACAAAAGTTCATTACTAAAGATGCTGTTCTCTTTCCCATTCAAATTGTTTTCGACAGAGTGGCTGAAGACGGCGTTAAACAGGTATTTTTTTTTTGTACATACATAAAAATATTCAAACCGTGAAATGCATTTCATTAAGAGAGAGCATTTTGATTGAAAAATTTTGAAATTTACCAACAAAACTTGTTGCAGGTTAAAAAAACGCTTTTTGATAAAATGAATCCCTATCCGCAAAAAAAAATTATTACTTTTAATAAGCACAACCAAGACTTTACATTTAATGTCAATTATGCAAAACTCGATCATTTACCAGAAAAAGAAATAGCGTAAGTCATTATTTTTTGTAAAGACAAAGTAAAAAAAAAGGGAGTAAAATTTTCATGCATAATGTATTTTGTTTCAATATTGTAGTGTGATTGGAAATTTAAATATTTCTACGGTATCTTTGATCGGAGTCGCTGACGCTTTGGCAAAACACAGCAACGAAGGAGCTGAGAGCAAGGGTATCAAAGCCCATTTTGCCATGGATGAAAGCGGAATACTCAATTTGATTAATACAGAACTGGTTTCTGAAAAAACAATCATTCCTAGTGCAGAAGAAGAAGGTGCTTTCTCAAAACTTGGTTCGACACTAAGCAAACTCTTTTCTGGTTTGTTCTCACCAATCACGTTTCTAACTAGAGATGGACAGTTTTTAATTATAAATTATTTAAAACTGTATAGAAAAGTTTCACGCTTTTAAAATTGTTAAGTTTTGTACTATCTGACTATTAAAGTAAATCTTGAGGAAAATCGTGACAAGAAATGATAGATGTATTAAAAAAAGCAGAATATCTCTAGTTTTGACTCGCAAATTCAATTGATGATAACAATCAATAAATTGAAATTTCTTTTTTATTAAAAA